CAAGCAAAAAGAATCTAAATCCGTGAAAGAGGTTTGAAAACGTGGAAGCTCCCTTGCTCTTTTGAATATCCTGTGAAAGGTTCCTTTCCTGTATTCCACTATGAACATAGACAACATAAGGTTAGCTTCACATACACCCTGCAAGTTTAGCGAACAATACCAACCCAACTAGTCTCATCCAGCAATCCAAACTCTCTATTGCTAACCTCTTGCATAAATTTAAAGCGTGAATTCTTTATCAAGGGGACATCGATCAATTGAACTTGTTCTTACCCACTTGATCCTCTCCAAGATTGCCTCTTTAAGTGCAATGAGTTCTTTTCCTCTCTCTTTCTCACATCAGAACTTTGAAAGGTCAATTTATCCCTACTTTTCTAGGGTATCATTTTATTTTTTCTATTGACCCTTCTTTCAACCACAGGATAAGTCTTTAGCTTGTTCCTTGTTTGACTAAGGTATTCCATAAGACATGAAGGTACAGACATATGCATTCCATAAGACATGAAGGTACAGACATATGCATTCCTCATGCTTACTTGTTCCTTGTGCTCTTTGAGCTTTTTCTCATATTACTTACCATTTGGGATGGGAGAGAGAGGAGAACTCTTTAAAGATTAGACAAATCTTATTGAAAATCAAGCAAGGAACTGTCGACATGTATGCCAACCCCCTTGACAAGAGTAATTAAGATTGATTAAGGTGAGGTTAACTCTAGATTGCTTGGTTACCTTAGAAATTTTGCTGAGCTAGCATGTCGATCCACTGTAAGAGCTTCTGTTAGGCTTGTGCCTTTAGCTGGTTTCTGCTCTAGGGTCATGGATTGTTAGCAACACTCTCAATTCTCAAAGCAAGTTCATAACTTCCGGACTGGTTTTTGACTCAATAAAACTTTTTGAAAAACATGAAACAAAGTGAATAAAACATAAGAAAAGAAAGAAAAATGCATTAGTAACACAATAAAACTCCCCCCAGACTTAACTTGCACCGTCCCGGTGAAAGCAAATCACATTAAGGTGAGAGGTAATATTCAAAGTAAAAGAAAAATAAAGAAAAATTCATTAAAATGAGATAGGGATAGAAAATGGAGATTTGTAAGTGTCCATTGCACTAAGTACCACTTGAGATGACTATGTGTGGCAGTGAGAAGAACTCTCTTCCTCATCTATGGGGTCATCGCCTTCTGAACCAAGCTCTGAGTCTAGTGAGAACTCACCAAGGTCAGGCTCATATGGCTCTCTAGCGGTGGAAGAAGGGCGAAAGAGTCTCTCCGGTGCAATGTGGCGAACTACGCGACTAGGCGTGAGATGAAGCGAGATTGGCATTCCACTATCTTCTCCAGCTTGTTAACACGGTCTAGAGCTTGGTGCGCAGCCATGCCAGTAGTGAGAACATGGCGTTCTTGGAGCGGCGTTGAGTCTTGACTGCATGCTGAAGTGTGCGATAGGTGAGCATGGGGAATGATGGTTTCTCACTTGATGGAACATAGAAGTCTTCCTCATTGGGCTGGAAAGTGACAACTCCTGAGCGTAGGCTTGGGATGTCTTCATGTGGCAGCAAGACAAGGGAAGTGTTGGCTGGACCAATTGGAAACTCATAGCAAAACCGAGTTGGGTCTTTAGTCCAACGGTTTAGGAAGTGGATGTGCTGAAGAGCATGGAGATCCAAAGGGGTTGGCTTGGGTAGTGGCTCATAGTTGGGAATGTCAATCCCCACATGCAGTACTATGGCCGTGATAAGCCTCCCAAAACGAACACAAAGCTTCTTGTTGCCTTCCAAGTCTTTAGCTAGCTTCCTCACATTGATGAATGTCTTGGCAAGTAAAAGTCCAAGGTTGGCCTTGTACTCATGCTTGATGAATGGTGTGGTGAGGATGTAGAACTCATCAGTTGTGACCTTGTTGGCTTCTTGTTTGCATTGGAAAGTGGTGGAGATGAGGCGGTGCACATAGCGAATGGCTGGATGAGTGATTCTAGACACCTTTGACCTTGAAGGCATGAATGGTTCATTGGCAAAGTGTGTCCAATCAGCAAAGGCAGCTTGTTTCCTCTTTGAGTTCTCCTTGAAGTCATGTGCTGTCTCATTGGGAAGTCCAAAGAGTTGGCATAGAGCTGAGATAGATATGCGCCCATTGGCATCGCCTATCTTGAAGAGTAGGAGTCCTTCACCAGCTGGTTGGTCTCCATTGTGGTTGGGAAAGGCAAGAGCTACTGTAGAGAGGAACTCCTTGGTGAGTTGTGAGTACTCACTACATTCTAGCTTGAAGAGCTTGCTCAAGCCTAGCTTCCTTATGTACCATGTGACATCATCTCTTATCTTGAGAAGATCAAGGGTTTGGGTGTCCATCTTCACACATGGCTCGATGTTCACCTTCTCCATTGCCTTCTTACACTTTCTTGGGTCTTGATTTTGTTCTCCAACAAAGGTTACAAGTGCCCAATCATCTTCTCCTCTTCTTGGACTCTCCACATGTTCTTGACTTGCATCAATGGAATGTGGGAAGTTGGTATTTCTGCTCTTGCATTGGAGCTACTACTCCCTAGCTTGATTTGCTTCTTTGGTGGCTCCATGAATGGGTTCTTCTTCTTCTTCATACTCTCATTTCCTTTTGTCTTTGCCATGGTATACCTTATGTGTTGAAAAGTGAATAAGGTTGCAAGAGCAAGTAAATTCCAATTTAGAGTTATGAACAGTAAAAGTTTTGAAATCAAAACTCTTAGAGTTCCTCTAATGGAGTTTAGGGTTTTGGAGAAGAAAGAGAGGTTCTTGTGGTTTTCAAGGGAAAGGTGAAGTAAATAAGATCTAAATCCTATCAATTTTCCTTTTCAAATTCGAATTTTGATTGAAAACCGGTTTAAGTTGGTTTAGATTGGTTAAAACCGGTTTGAATTAATGAAAAGGGGACTTACCTTGGCCTAGAAAAGTTTTGGGCCGATGGCCGATGGATTTTGTCGCGGTCGAGCGATTTGGTCGGCCAAATTCGTTTTGGCCGAGAGAATTTCGGCCGAGGCCGAGCGATGTTTCCCGGATCGACCGGCACGGTCGGTCCGTTCCGATACAAAATTTCGGCCGATCGCGGCCGTTTCTTTCCCGGTTCGCGTGTGCGCGAACGGTTTCTGTCGCGCAAGTAGAAATCCGGCCGAGCACGGCTTATTCCTTCCCGGCTCGACCGTACGGTCGGCCAGATTGGAATTGCTCGGCCAAAATTCTCTTTTGCGCGTCCGCGGCCAATGTTTTGGCGCGGATTGTGTTTTCACACCTTTTTCTCCTTCTATCCTATCTTAAAACAAAGAAAACACAAAAGCAAAACAAAAACTAAGAAAATTAAAGAAAGAAAAGTAAAAGTACCTCATGGGTTGCCTCCCATGCAGCGCTTGTTTTAAGTCTTTAGCTTGACTGTAAGGCTTGGCGCTCAGGAGAAGATGGAGACAAGAGGCATCCTTGATCCTCCAAGTCTTTTCTCCTTGCAATGAGTATCTGGTGGGTGATTCACAGCTGGATAGACAATCTCTCCATGAATGTCCCTTGGCACTACTGCCTTAGGAAAAAGCTTTAGAGTTCTTGTCACTTCTCCTTGAATCCTTCTAGATTCTCATCAATAAGCTCCTTTGGGAATAGAAGCTTCATGTTGCGGCCAGACCTAGGTTTTCTAACCTTCTTCTTGGCTTGGCCTCATCTTCAATCTTGGTTGATCCCTTGGGCGGTTTTGGTGTAGGGGCCTTAGTCTTACTCCTTGCTTGTTTGGCAAGCTGCTTGGGCTTAGGAATGGGATCTTCCTTGATTGTTTCTTCAGTTTCTCCTTCTTGGGGTGGCTTCAAAGTAGCTTTCTCCTCTTGGACCATGTCAACAAAAGAGTTCTTTGTTGAACACATAGGGAAGAACATACCCTTGTTCACCTTGTTGAAAGAGATTCTTTGATTGGGGAAATCAAATATGGCACCCACAGTAGACAGGAAAGGGGTTCCAAATATGAGAGGTCTATGGCTACTCTCTCTCATTTCCACAATCTGGAAATCAGTAGGGATAGAGCAATTTCCAATCTGCACCATCACATTAGGCACAAAGCCATAGGGGTTTGTGAGAATGAATCAGCATAGTTGATGGAGATGGATGATGGCTCTATCTTGGTGAGGCCTATCTTGTCAGCTATCCTCTTAGACATGATGTTCACATTGGCTCCTGTGTCACACAAAGATTGCTCAAGAATGTTACCTTTGATGATACAAGGCACAGCAAACTTTCCTGAGTTATCTGTCTTGGGGATAATCTTTGGGAAGAGTCTTCTCTTTCTAGCTCGATTGGACTCTCTCTCTGGGTAATTCTCTTCAGGCCAAATCATGCAATCAACAGTAGGTTTTGAAAGCATCCATTCTGGAACTTGGTCTTCAAATCTTTCTTCTATGGCGGCTGAGTTGCAAAAGGACTTCTTGGATTCAGCTTCCTGTCTCTTAACAGCTTCCATAGTTTGAGTGACTTGAGTCTCTAGTTTCTTCACATGAGTGGCAACAGCATCATACTTGGTGTTGAGATTGCTGAACAAAGTGTCCATCTTCTCATACATCTCTTTAGTGTTTCTCTTCTGGCCATCCATGATCTGTTGGAGGATTCCTTCAAATCTCCCACCTTGTTGGTTTGGAGGAGCTTGATTTGGTGAAGAAGCATATGGCTCCTTGGGCGGATATGATGATCTCTGCTCATATCCTTGCCTTGGCTGAAATTGACTTCCTTGAGATTGGTAAGGAGGTCTTTGTTGTTGTGGATACCTTGGAGGATACACTTGGTCTTGAGGATTCTCCACATTGGGGTTTCTATAAGACATGTTGGGGTTTGGGCGATAGCTTGGATTGTATCCCTTGTTCCCATAGTTTCCAATGTAGTTCACATCTTCTTCATTGGCTTCATTAGAGAAATCTCCCATGCATTCTCTTGATGAATCTTCATTAGCATCACTCATCCCTTCTATTGCATTGATATGCTTGAGCTGTCCCTTAAGAACTTGAGCCATCATGTTCTTGAGTTCAGTCATTTGAAAAGAATCAGGGGAGCTAGTAGTGGTGCGGCTTGAGCGGTCATAATCAGGACAGTTGTTACAATCACTAGCTGCAAGATTCTCAATAAGAACCTTAGCTTCATCAACAGTCTTGGTCATGAAGTTTCCATTGCTTGCTGTATCCAATGAAAGCTTGTACTTGTGGTCTATGCCACGATAGAAGATGTTCCATAGGTTTCCCTCATTGAAACCATGATTAGGGCAGTCCCTAATGTACTCCTTGAATCGATCTAGCGCCTCATAGAAAGACTCATTGTTGCTTGGCGAAAGTGGAGATCTTGTTTCTACAGAAATTGATCTCTGTTTGGTGTAGAAGTGGTTGATGAATGCAGCCTTGTACTCATCCCAAGTGGTGATGGAGTGAGCTGGCAGAGACTTCAACCATCTTGAAGCTTTGTCGCCAAGAGAGAATGAAAAGAGCTTGCACTTAAGGTAGTCAGCAGAGACTCCATTGGATCTTGTAGTGCTGCAAATTTCTTCAAAGTTTTCTATGTGATCAAGAGGGTGCTCAGCTGGAAGTCCATTGAATTGGTTCTGTCTAACCAATGCAATGATCTGAGGCTTGATCTCATAGTCATTCCTTGCAGGTGGTGGTGGATGGATAGGGTTTCTATCCATGAAGAAAGCATCGGCAGAGTCATAGTCTCCGATTGTAGGTGCTCCAGCTTGGGTTGTGCGTTCACATCTCCAGCAGGGTTAGGAGGAGGAGGAGGTGGATCTCTTCCTTCTTCTTGAGCGCGCGCCACTTCAGCGGCGTGAGCGCGAGCTGCTTCGTCGGCCATCTCTTGGGCTTTCTGCTTCCTAAGTTGCTTCTCAAGCTTGTCTATCTCTGGATGTTCAACTAGGTTGTCCTTGTTGGACCTCCTAGTCATGCACCTGAAAAGAGTCTTGGAAACAAGTTAAACTAAAAGGGAAAAACAAAAACAAAAGTAAAAATCAAAGAAAAGGAAATCAAAAACTAAAAATTCAAAAGCAAAAGAAAAGTAAAACAGGAAAAGGTTCTAGACTAGATCCTAGTCGAGTTCCAAAGGTACTGCTGCAGTCCCCGGCAACGGCGCCAAAAACTTGATGCGGAGTCAGGTTTTACCAAACTCCTAGACCTCTGCAAGTGCACAGATCGCGGAAGTATGGGTATCGAACACAAGGACTGGCTATTGAGTACACTTTGTAACTATGGATTTTGGATCAAGCTAAAACAAAAGTATGATTGAGGTTGTAATGGTGAACCGAACTAGCAAGTATAACGAGGTTGTAAGCAATAAAGGAAAAGCGCTAGGTCATAGGGGCTATCGCAGAGAAGCAAGCAATGATCAATGAAACAATGATAGATTAATTGATTAGGGATATTGGGATATTAAGAACCATCTAGAACACAGATCACGAATATAAAACCATTCCACTTTCGAGGCTCCGGCTCCTTTGCTAATCTACCTAGTCGCTAAACTTTTGGTATGTCCCTAGGTGATTAGATCAAGCATTAGAATGAATAGGTTCTGATACAGTTCACTAGATATAGATAGATCAACTTTCGCAGTCTAAGAAACCTAGCTTGTCAAAGAATATGTCCGGCGAATGATACAGCACTGTCGAGGCTCAAATCAACCTAAGATCGGATTACTAGATGCGCGGTAAAGCAATCAGCATTAGTTAAGTGCACAAGACGAGACAAAGACTCTAATATAATCCCTAGCTAATCATTGAAATCAAAGATCATGCAAGCAACTCATTGAATAGTAACCCTAGCAACCTAACTAGTGGATTACTCAGACATGATCAAAGCAAACACACATAGAGATGAAGAAAACATGATTGCAATAAAACTTAGAGTAGGAAATCGAAATACAGGGCGGCTCTCTTTCTCAAGAGGCTAAAAATCCATATATATAGTGCTAGGTCTTTCTAGAGGCGGCTTAGGGTTAAGCCGGGCTTGAAAACATAAGTTTGGGCTTCAAAAAGGGCTTCGGGTCGACCGCGGCGTTGGGACGGTCGTGCGGGACGATCGGCCGGACAATCGGGTATGTGGCCGAGTCGGAACGGTCGGGGTCGGACGGATCGTGGTCGGCCGGCTGTGGTCGGAGGGATGAATTTGGCCGATGAAATCTCGGCCGGACGCGGGACGTTTTCCCGGCTCGGACGGCGCATCGGCCGTGGTACGCGGAGAGTTGCGCGGCCGCGAGGCGTTTCCCGGCTCGCGTTTGGTCGTGCGCGGTCGTGGCGTGGCGTGGCCGACCGCGGGATGTTTCCCGGGTCGTGATTGCGTGATCGGCCGACGGTTTTGGACTTTGGCCGAGACTTCAGACGGACGGACGAGATTTGGCCGAGCGCGGAACATTCGTTCCTCGGCCAGCCGGACTGCGCGGTTGGGCGCTGATTCTCGATAGAGCCGTCTGGACAGTCTTCACTCTTTTGGTTGTAACTCCTTTTCTACTCATCCAAATTAGGCCATTCCAATTGCGTTGGAAAGTTAACTCAATCAGAGCACGCAGGGAACTGGTCTTGATGAAATCCATTGAGTAGATCTTTTTCTGGGCCCTCTTAAAGTTGGTGCTTGTGCATGGAGCTGCTTGAAGTGCAAATCCTATGGTTTTGCTCCAAAATGCATCATTTCACCTGTTTAGACTCTAGACACTATAAACACAGTAAAACTACCTTTTTAGATAGAAAACCTGCCAAAAACCATTAGAAAACAATGCTAAAACAGTATAAAAAGTGGGTAAATTAGAGGTATATCATCTATTAAGCTCGCGTCTTCTAATCATTTGGAAGTCCTCTGAAAGAGCCTCCCAAGTATTTTTCCAAACCAGCTCTGGAGAAGTTAAACTGTCGGAATTAAGCATGGTGACGAATAACTGCCGAAGTTGAGCTGCAGAAGTCGTGAAGCTTCTCCTGAGAATGTCATCAATGTACTCTTGGTCATCCTCTAACAAACCCCTGGCATAGCACGCATCCTTGTTGCTCGGATATAGCACTCCATTGTATGTCTTGATGTCGTCAAAACATGTGGGACCACGGACAACATTTAACAACACTCGACAATAATAAGCATCTTCAATCTTCCTTGGGGCATAGTTGATTCTGCCAATTGCAAAACCTGTCTCCCTTTCTTTCCAACGTTTCTGGCTAGCAATATATACAAAGAAATTTGGAATCTGAACATAGGTTAGCGTTCTAGCAAACTCGTTTTCCAAATTCAGCTGAAACCAAGCCAACATCATAGTCTTCTCGATCAGTTTTCGTGTAACAACCCTTTCCAGCTTGTCCTTCCCTTTGAAGATAACCAACTGTTTCCCTTCTAAGTGAAAAGTGAGTTTAACCACAGACACAGATCTATGATGTATTTTAAACCCCAGTGTTCTCCATACAGCTTCTGTAGCACCTACAAACCTTCACAAAACGTTTCAAAACTTGATTTCAGAAAACGGTGTCTAACCTCAAAATTCATTCATAAATGTTCAAAAGGAAACAGAGTATATTAAGATATTTGATGGAACATCTTACCGGAAGTCATCTCGTTAACCTGCTCAACCTTCTCAGTGGACTCAGAACTATCTTCAGTCTGCTTATCTCCATTAGTAGATCTCCCATTTTTCTTTTTCTGCCGTGCTTCTTCACCAAGTGTGGCCTGCTCAGCTGACTCAACAACGACAGCAACACGATCTGATCCCTTGTTGATATACTTAAATAAGTATTTAATAGCAGCTGACTGGTTACACCATTCTACATTGATGTGAGCTTTGTAACGGATGGACAGAGCTCTGTTATATGGAATCACGTATCGGTTGTCACACTTGAAACCATTCTTCTCGATAAACACACCTGGCTGGTCCCGTCTCCTGTATATTGGGAAGCCATCTTTGCTTATCTTGGTTCTCTCTGCATGAGCTTTCGGGAATAGCTTTTGACATTTTCCATTTTCCATACATGGTGAGTTTATGTTCACATTACCGCAAGGACCGTGAATCATCATATCCTTCACAACTTCATATAGTTCTGGCTCCTCCACCTTATCTGGTATCTCTGCTGATATAATCTTATCGATATCATCCGTAGTTGGAAACTTGCACTTCTGATGCATAAACAGAAGAATGTGAGCATGTGGCAGTCCTCGTTTTTGAAATTCTATTGTATACATTGCTGCATTGTTAAAAGAAGTGATCGTGAATCATAGGAATAATAATTGTGCAGAAATCAAATGAAAACATACTTGTTAGTTTACTACTTATAATATGATGGATTGGTACAAAACTTACACGCAACTGTTTGGCCTAGGAGTCCATTATCCGTCAAGTCTTCCATGAGTGACGCTAGTTTTATATGATACAGCCTGCAGATGAGTTCAGCTCTATCCGTAGGTTTCAGATTTGTACCATCAAGCTCTCGGGTTAGTTCTGGCCATTTAGGATTGCATGTAAATGTGATGAACAAATCCGGGAAACCATAATGTCTGCATATCGCCATCGCATCGAAATATAACTCCCTCATATACCTTGGTCCTCCAGTGAAAGACGCAGGCAAGTAAAACTTATTACCTTGTTCCTCCATTTCAATGACACCTGCGTCTTCAGCTTGTTTGATTGAGTCATAACTGTCTGATCTCAAGCTTGTCTGGTTCATCCGCAGATAGGTAAGCCTGTTAGTCTCAATCATGGTGTAGGTATCGACCAAGTACTGCTGAAACAGCCTCCTCGAGTGTAAGAGATGGTTAGACTCTTTTGTTCTTTCAAATAGACGGAAAGCAAAAAACTGTCTAACAGAGATGTTTTCCTTCTTATTTTTTTTCCCGTAAACTGAATCTGCTTTCTTAATTCCAAGCCTGAAACCATCTTCTCCATAAACAAAACACGTAGGATATTGTAGTGGGATATACGACGGATGAATCTCGCTAATACGCCTCAGCTTTCCGGATTGTTTTTGTAGGATTATATCACGGTTCTTCCCCATGTCAAAATTGAAATCTCCGGGAATGATTGCAGCAACCTCAGAAGCCGTAGGAGTGTTGTAAGTTCTTCCATCAGTAACACGATCACTTATAATCCTCATGTGAAAACTGTGCTCAGGGTCAGTGTTGAATCTCTCTCTTGCAGACCGAAATGTCTTCACGTACGGGTTGTGCTCATCTAAGACCTTGACGAACAATTCAATGATTTCCTTCCGTAGTCGGTTCTTCTTAGTTGATTCTTTAGCATTTTTAGCCTTGCTGGATAAGAGAGGATACAACAGGTTAGTACTAATGATAACATAAACTGTTTGTGATTCAAGAATCTATACTATTAAATTATAAACTATGTAATATAAATTACCTGAGGAAAGTGAGTCTATTTTCGATCTCATTCTCCATGTCAACAATATACATCTGATAGAATTTTGCATAATCTCCAGGTTGTGGAATCATGCTGCCCATTAAATGGTAATTCTCTCCGTGCAACTGAAACATTTGTGGACCCCTCCCTTTTTTTACAGAATGATCAACTCTTCCACCCATTGAAGTAAAGGAAAAAAGCATGCTGTAAGGCCTGATGTGCTTCTGATAATGTCGGCTTAATTCATCATCTCCATAAATCAAATTTTTAATTTCAGGAGGAGGATCCTTTAGCAACGGCAACGTTACTTGTCCCTGCATACAGCAAAGCGTGAAGACTGGATTGCGTGACCTCTTCTTCTTGTTGATACGTTCACCATACCAAAACTTAGCATCACAGTGAGTGCAACGATATGTCATATCACCCTCATCATTATATTCTGTACGGGACAATCCAAAATCACCAGAAACTTAGTGTAACATCAAAATTAGAAACTACCAAGATTACAAAGATAGACTATTAATTACCAAGTTTTAATGGTTCCTTTGTTTTCACTTTCCTCCCTCTGGTTCCTTTTGTCGAGTTTGGTTGTTTCTTAGTTTCAGCTTGGACACACGGCTTTCGTGGATTCTTGGATCTAACCTCTGCGAATTCCGGTTGAGGCTGATCACATCCTGAAGGTTTGTCTTAGAACAACTTGATTCATCATTTGATAACTCATCTTCCGTGGTTTCTGGGCTACTACACTGAAATATATGGTCATAATCTCCATCATCATCTACAAAATAACAAAATGTCATAGTTTAGATAATTTTTGAATTCACCATGAAACTATTGAAAACAATACTCAAACCAGAAATAAACTTGCCTTCCGAAGATACCAACAAATCTGGGAAATTATGTGGTCTATCTTCAATAGTAGTCTCATCAGTATGTTTTATTTTTCCTCTAGGTTTGCGTTTAGAAGATGGTACTTTTGTTTCCGTCTCAATTGTTTGCAGGCTGGAAAGATCTCGCATCAACTTCCGACCACGTGTGGTTCGCTTCTGACTGTTCAGTGTGACAGCACTTACTGGAGTTCTATCAGGCACTGTTTCAGACGAAACTTGAATCAATCAGCTATTACTCCACAGTTGAAACTACGTAAGTTATAACGGTAAAGCCAATGAGTTAAATTATAAGCCATGAGAGAAATACTTAGTACCTTGGAAAGTCGGTTTTGTAAACAATGGGGAACCATTAATATCGACGCGTTTCAAACTCGTAGCCCTTCCACAGCTTGTATTTATGTTGTTAACACCATCAAAGATTCTGCTAAAAATTGTTCTTACTGGTACACATGCTTGAGTTTTCGTGTTGGAAGGTTTTTTGATGGTTTGAGTTGATGATCTTAGTTTTCTCGTTTTTCTGGTTTTGGTTGTTTTAGGATCCTCTGCACCATCTACTATGTGATTATCAACGCTCATCCCCTGATAATGACATACGGGTTAAAAAGTTCATCCATTATGTAACTTGTTATAAATGAGTTTGAATCTAAGTGATTTTTTTTTATTTACCTTTACAGATTTTCCATTGCAGGTGTCGTTATTGTCATATGAGCTTTTCCTCTTTCTGGATCTAGGAGGTTTTCTGGGACATCCATCGATGACAACTTCCTCTGTTTTCTTCTTCATGATGCTCTCCTTTATAGGTATCTATGTTAAATGAAATGTGAAAGCTTAGTCTGAACTAACAAACAGATTGCTTAAATAGATTAGTACCTATAGTAGGATTATCAATCTCGCACGACTCTGATCACAACCTGGCTTCGGTCCGAATAGTAGTGTTCTTAGAGCTATTAAACTCTTAATTCTGTGTAGTACTAAAATCTCTGCAGCTGAGCTTAATTGTATGCCATTTTTCACCATTTTATGACAGGGCGGGAAAGTGAAAAAATCGATTTCCCTCGTACCAAATTTCAAATTATGAAGCATGAATCTGAGTAAGTATATCAAAAATTTCAAAAAGTAAAGGTAAGTATAAGTTTACCTCCAATTTGTTTATTCGAAATCTACTTAGAGTGAATTAAGGAAGTAATATATTTTGTTAAGATATGATGCGTGTTTTAATTTGTAGATCTCTATCTTGCTAAATGATAGAGTAGGTACACAAATATAGCGTTTTTAATAATAATCAATGATTGCAGGTTTTCCATTTTATTTAAGAAACACAAACATGTCTCATAAAAAAGTGACACAAAATTAGCCGAGGTCATTTATTTATGTTTTATGCTAATCAATGGTTGACTACACTAATTCTCTACTTTTGTGTGTATAGTACTTGTGATTTGGAGAAATGTCAAGTTTAATATGACGTCGTTCCCATATCAGTTCAGTTCACATCCCCAATCAATTCAGGTAACTATCTCTCACAATGCTATTTTTTACTTTTAGATTATCGCATGATTTCATATGTTCGACATATCTAACATAATTATAAAACATAAGATTCAAACTTGAAATCATCCAGAAATAAGAGAAACAGTGCTGGTCATAGTTAATTACAAATAGATATAGAGAGAAGTAGGTAATCTTAGAATGGCAAACATCTTCTGGTCACTTGCGTGATTTCCAAACTTTCAGTACAATCTTCAACCATCCATGAGTTCAACGTCACTATCATCGGATGTGGGATGAAGGCTGTATAATGTACACATAATATTATTGTTAGCTAATATTACTGTAGGTTAGAATTTGGTAAACTTAGAAATAATACATACTACTAAAACTTACAATATATTTTCGAAGTGTTCCACCTCTAAGTGACCGGTTGGATGAAAATCAAATGTAGAGATACCCTGCACACTTTCAACGTTTATACCACCTACATGTATATAAAATAAACATTAGGAAAGTTGTAATTTAAATCTGGAACATCTTAGAAAGACATACTAATAAAAAGTTGCTTAGAAATCTCAAACAGATTACCATCTGATCCAACTACTCGCCAATCAGTTAAGAGGATGATATTTGTTCCAGTGTAACCATAACAAAGCCAGAAACGTTTGAACTTATCTGCTAACTCTCCTTTCGCACGAAAGTTAAGCCATTGCCACTTAAAACATGAAAAACAGGTATTTCAGTTTCGTATTACTCACTTCCAAGCAATCTATACTATTAAAGACAATAGGTTTATAGAAATGATATACTTACTTGTTGTCCAGAAGCATAAAGTCAATCTTGCTAATATATTTGTTATGCATGTTCCACCTATTCCTAGGAAGGAAAGGATCTATCATAGTGTCCAACTCCCTCACAATAGTTATTTGACCTATAAAATCTGTAATGCCACATTAGATATCACTACACAAAGTATTGCCTCTAAAAATAAAACATCCGGTATAAACAGAAAAAAAAATAATTCAGCAAATTACCTCTAAGGAAAGATGTTCCGTCTTGAACAGCTGAACGATAAACATCTCCAAATGGAATAAGATCCAGAGGAATGAAACCATTAAAGCACTCAGAGTTAGAAACTTGGGTATCACGCGTGAGAACAATTTCTTTCCTCTGTTTGGTCAATCGAATCTCTGTATTAACTAACTGGACTTTGAAACCAGTTATGCTCCTCCAATCTTCTTCATGAAGTAGTCCCCTGAATCTCCGTTTCTGATCTTCTCTGTCCACGAAAGCATGCATCTTCGTGCCCTGTTAAATTTGTAGGAAAGATTGAGGACAGATAATTTAGTTAGTATCATGTATCATAAAACAATCTATACTATAAAACATTAAGTTCTAATTACCTCATCATCAACAAAGAGGAAACTTAGACCTTCAAAGGTATCAACATCAAGTGTATCCCAGATTTTCAAACTTTCACAGTGATCCGTAAATCATCACGGTCTGGTGTAATATCAGCGAGTTTAGCGTTGTTCATTGTTTCAAATTTCAGATCTAACTTTTTACTGGTTTCTGAAGTTTATCTGATAATGGTTCCTATTTATATATTCTTCATAAAGTATATTAATACGCGTTAGCTTGATGGTACACGCAATATATTGAGATCTACTTAATTGATTCGCTATGAACTATCTAAACTGACCATTTCGATTGAGTGTCCCGTAAATTGAGGCGGACTTTTGCAGTTAATGGTACTGTAAATATACTGAGGATTCTCTGAATATATTCACTTTTTCAGAAAAATCTTATCTGACCAGTTTCAATTTTCTTTGTAGGTGATTATTACTCAAGCATGAAACCTTGACCAATTTCTCAATACAAAAAGATAAGTATAATTCGCTGTCCCACCAATTACTTCTAATCCTTTTTCTTGGACTCTAGACTGAATGGGCCACAAATTGTGTAGGCCTTATGAACACTCTATTTTCTACTATAATATTGATGTTAGATAATCTCAAGTAGATAAGTCTCAGGTACTACACTAATATTGATTTGGTAAACGATGTCTCTATTTGGCATATATACTTAGATAAACGGTCTTAGGCTCTTCAGATGATAATACTATAGATGTAAGATAGTCGATATAAAGCCAACTGAACTGATAATTGTAACCAACTTATTAAAAAATCCAAATAATATCTCAAATACTGAAAAAATAAAGCTCAAGCTAGAAAGGTCTTTAGAAATTCAAAAAACAAAAAGATGACGATGTTGACTCATTATTCCTTGTGACAGTTTGGGATGCACTACTCGGTCAACGTCTTCACATCAACACCATTGCTTTCGTCTTCTAGGTTGATGAGCTTGGTGCACTGTTTCTTTGAAGTGGAAGAGAGCTCACTTCTGATATTGCTGTCTTCAATACTGCGCTTAGGAGATGGTGTCATCCCATTGCTCTTCACAACAGAGGCCTGAAATAAATGAATATGATGAGAGATAAGGTTAGCTCTGGAACTATGAGTATAGTTATATACACATCCTAAAATATAAACTTCGCATACCTCATTGTCAGAATGAATCTGAGAGAGATCATCCTCAACAGTAATGATCTCGTTGGCTGAATCAGAATGACCCGTGATATGACCATTTTTCACTTTGTGAGCCTTGTAGGTGTCATTTCCATACATGATGTGCTCCTTCTCTACACCCACCAAGAAATCGAAAGTGTTCCCAACCAAATCTTTTATGGAATCAGGAAGAAGTTCCGGGTCTTGAATCTAAACAGGTAAAGTTTTATGCATTTGTATATTTTGTAATGCTGCTTATATTATAAATTCAATTGGATTCGATAGTACCTCATCAGTAGAACCATTCAGTAGGAATGCGGCTGTCTTGTTGACCATCCCGTTAGCAACAGAATCCATGAGCATTATCTTAGCCTCACCAGAATCATCTTCAATGATTAAATGTAGCTTGAATCTATTCCCAAGAAAAATTTAAAATTTCCTTGTAAGTAAAAACTAAGTAGAACAGACATATTCAGCATTTCTGCTATCAGATGCAGAGTATAGACTTACTTTGGTGAAACCGCTTTGATATTTGTCTTGCAGTTATCACAATACCAAATAGGAACTACTGGTCGTGGTCTGGTGGAAGACTCCTTTTTCAAGTCTTTGAAAACCCGATGTTGACATTTAACGCAACCAAAGTAATACCATCCCCAATCAGTATCAATAGCAGTGACCTTTGCACGGATTCTAAATTTCTCAATCTACAACAATAAACAAAACAGTAAGCTCAAATCATACTCTAGCATCAGTCATCCAACTTTGTTCTTTGTATCTATACTATTAAATTCCAAAACAGAATCATTACCTCGGTAGAACTCTTCACATCATAAACGGACTTAAGATCAAGAGTCAACCACTCATCCGCCTTTTGC